CAAACGAATTAAATTGTTCTTGTTTGTCATATAATAAACATCTTATTAACCGAGCTTAGTCGGTCTGTATGGGAGAATCTTGACCTCGGTCGTTTGTACTGACCTCACTGTGTTCGGTCTGTACTCATGACCTCGGTCAATATTCTCCCATACAGACCTCCTGCTCGGTTAATAAGAGCTGAATATAGTAATCTGATTGGCTCAATTTTAATTAGTTATTCGATATTCTCCCTCTGAAATAACTTACTCGAGTAATAATAAATATAAGCCCTGAAAGTCGCATAACTGTAAAGAAATATATCTTCAAAAGATCTCGTGGCATGAAGTCATGTCCTTCAGGGAGGCGTGGTTGAATGCATTTTCGAAGCATACTGTCCCTCTCCATCCCTCCATTGGCTCCCATTACGGAAACAGCTCGGTTTTAAATATTAATTAAATATTAATTTAAGAAATCTTGGAAAGGTGGAATACGTGTTAAGGTTATCGCAGGTTGAATTTTCATTGAAGTGAATTTTTAACGTGTTTTGTAATTGTGAGCATAAACTGTAAATTTATGACGTTCAGGCTAGCTTTATTTTTTGACGTATTGAGCGAACTTCATCATCTAATGGAAAATCGCGCTATATATATTTTTTAATATTTCATATTATCACAAATGTAATACCATTATTGTTGGTTTGAAAAAATGCAATGAAATTATCAAACTTTTCTCCATTCTCAGGGCGAGACCCTGTTGGGAGATATCGGAGGACAACTTGGTCTGTTTGTAGGAATCTCGTTTATAACTCTTGTAGAGTTCCTTGAACTGCTATTGTGCCTTATTCTGCCAAGAAAGAAGACAACACCCAATCGAGTAACGGCTTTCGATGTAAACGAGGGATAAGGTGCTGGTGGAAAATATTACGTCGATAATTACCATTTTCGTGTTCTCGGAATTGGACTGAAACTAGCTTGCAATGGAGTCGAGGCTCATCCGGGGGGAGTATCATTTAAAAGAGATGGACCCTTTGCATTAAAAGAGACTCCCTCAGTTGCAAGCTAGCTCCAGTCCAGCATCGAAAATACGAATATGCTCTATGCTTCTTTGAACAGCAGCATAGCTTTACAAGTTGCTCGGAATCAAATAAGAGAAGAAATCGGAGACACATAACAACCGCTGAGGACTTTTGTTTCGAAAAAAATATACGTCACATCTTACAACAAATGACATTCTATGTATTGGTTAGCGATGTGATGTAAGTAAAGTAAGTAACTGACTTTTAGTAAGCACTTATATTGTAAAATTATTGCAGGTAATGTACCTTAAGAATTGTAAAGCATGCAGTGTATTGGATTATAATTGCCTGGAAATTTTGTTTCTTTGAACGGAAGTACAGTTTTACTTATGGCTCAGGATTCAAATAACAAATAATGGTAATTTCTCCACTTGGAGACCCAGAACAACCAATGTGGACTTTACTTTTGAAAAACAAAATGTCACATCTTGGTACAAACGCCATTTAGGAACTAACAATCAACAAGATGAATCTCGTACTCTTGAATGCTAGCGCAAGTTTTTTTTTTTTTTGCGTGAGCGAAATTAATTGCACATGCACAACATTGAGAGATTTCCCTCGAGCTAAACTTCGGCTGCAGGAACTGAAATATATGGATGGTCGTTTTCTCCTAAACGATCATTGTGACCCCACATGACGTACGGTTGACAGCAATATCACATCGCGTTTGAAGGAAAAGCTAAAAATTCTGATTTGAGAATTTTAATAATTTGAGACCTGAGAATTTTAATTTGAATGCTGGGTATGTGCAACAGCTAATTCTTTGATTTTGTTCATGAAAATAATTCTTTATCAATTAAAGAAAAAAGTTTGTAATGTACGATACTGCTTTTTTTTTTTACAGTCAAAATACTCAGGCCTTTTAGCCTGATGTTGCACATTTCCTATAGATTACATTGGTTCTAATATGATGATGTTATACTTCAATTAAAGCCGTTATCTGCATGTAAAACACTATAATTATTGACCTGGGTTCCTAATAAAAACCCACCAGATATAGTCGGTGGGTGTGGTGACCTGATATTTTGGTACATATTTGTAATATACGTAACATGATTACCAGAAGAACTAAGGTTTTATTTCTACCCTATTTTCCGATGAATTGCTCTAGAAAATTCTGGTTGTAGCTTTGCCCAAATAATTTTCATGCGCTTTTTTGATACTCTTCATTACATTTTATACACGTTGAATTAGCCCAAATACGGAGTTATGTTACAGTTATTATGTTTTGTTATTCTTAGCTGCTATCTATTTGTAAAACAGCATAATTATTTAAACCTTACTTAACCGGGTTTTTCGATTCTGTTTGGTCAAAGTTAGTGTTTATATATAGATAACAATACTGACTTATCTACCTGAAAATTACAAATAAGCCTCCAATTCATGGAAAGTATTCGTGATGTATATACAGTATGCTATAAATAAAGGCAAGCGCTCGAGAAATTGGAAGGTGACCGAGCATTGGCATAGCGGTTACTCTCTCTACGAATGTTCAGAAACCACCATTAAACTAGACCTCAATCATGAAGTCAAAACATGAGCAGGATTTTTTAGCTCCAGGTTTTGAGCGTCGGGGATTTAGTCACCGCTGACCGAGGACCCGTGGGTTCTGGGACGAGATGAAACTCGTTCCCAGAGTCTTCGTTTCCCTTGACCAGCGGTCGGAAAACGAGAGCTCTGGGAGTAACCATTTCAGGCGTGCGCCATAGAAGCAGACTGCGCAGTGAAACCGGATGGGCAGAATTCGGTTATTTCAAAATGGCTGCTCCCAGAGCTCTCGTTTTCCGACCGCTGGTCAGGGGAAACGAAGACTCTGGGAACGAGATTGGGACAAGATTGGCAGAGAACAGCAAAGAACTGTAAGGAGACGACGACGCATGTGCAAACCTTTCTACTGAGGTGGGGAAGATTAGAACAGCCATAACCAAAACCCTAAGATCCCTTGAAACCGTCATGATATTTGAACAAACGGTGTTGTGAAACTTTGTTCCGAGAAATAGCCAGCGCTTAAAATGTCAGTCAAACTTCAATTTGTTTACAATGTAAAAGTAATTGACGTCTAATTGATGTCTCGAACGGTGCGTTATACAGCCGCCCCAAACTACAGCGCGTTTTAAGAACAGTTTATGTACACTTTCATGTAGAAGAGTATGCACAGCTGACATTTTTGAAGCAGAGAGGACAGTAGCGACTGTTACTGCCATGAATGGAATTTAGCTTAAGAGAAAAAGACAAAGTAAAAGTCAGAAAGCCAAATCAGGTTTGCTTAAGTATTTCACGTTTTCCTGTGATATGGGCATTGAACTGAACGCAATTCTCAGTCGCTGTTGCACGAAAACCGAAAACATGCCATATGCCAGCGTAGTAGATTTGGAACAATTTATTTCTCTTTAACAAAGAATGTTATCCTAGCTCTAAAAGACTGTTTGATATCAGCCCCAAGCGACGCAGTGACGTGCATGCGCCATATTTGAATCGATATTTTATTTTAGTTACCCAAATATATTCAAACTTGCTAAAAACAAAACTGTCCACGAATTTCGCTGTTTTCCTTCTGCGAATATTATGCACTTAATGACTGACCCCAAGGAAAAAAGGGAGTTTCGTTTCCCCTAAATCCTCAATGTTCCCTATAAAACCAAAACCTCAGGAGGATAGGTAATTTTCATGACTACGTCTCATGAAAACCGGCAATTTGAGGAAAAAGATGAAATGAGTTTCGAAAAAAGAATGATCATAACTTTGTCAATTGTGAAAATTTGCCATAAATCTCTGGTCTTGTCTGATAATCGTGCACTCCATGGAAAAACACGGCCCGGGTTATTCGAAAATGGACTAAAACAAATCGGGTCTTTTGGTATTTCATTTTCATTTGTTTCATTGCTAATGTTTAAAAAAATAAATTTTTTTACGTCGAAAATGGAGAAAAAATATTAACAAGTTACCTCAATGACCGGGAGGGAAACTTTTGCGAAAGCGAAGGGACCTTTCCCATCATGCCATCGTGTCGCTCTAGACATTGATTGATTTCAAGAGGGAAACATTATCATCGTATTTGTGACATGAAAAACACGCTTAAGAGTGAAATGCGCGTGGGTTGAGTGTTTCAATTGGCCATTACAAGGTATCATGCGACGAAACAACCCCTTAGGTAAATGTTTTTCGGAAAAAAAAAAACTTATGAACTGATTTTTTTCTGGTTCAGGGAAATAGCTAATTTATTTGACGAAAAATGTTGGCTGTTGAAATATTTATGATGGAAATTTGCTTTACAATTTTTTATTTTTATTTTTAGTTACCTGGGAAACCTTGCATATTGATTTAACCACCCTTTTTAATAAAATAAAATATACTCTATAAGGAAATATATTTTTGCCCGAGACGGTTTAAAATGACGTTTGATTGATTTTTCTTGACGCTTAACAGCTGTATGTTAAATAAGCTGTCTTCGTTTGTTGGAACATTTGTCTATCCAAAATTACTTTCAATTTCTCTCTCGTATACGTAATTGTCTTAAAAACAAAACATACCACACTTGCCACTCTCGATTTTTTTTTAGAAAATGTCGAGCTTACTGGATGCATTTTATGTTTGAAAATACCTTATTTTCAAAGGTAAGTACAATGCTACTTATTCTTAAATCCAAGTACGTTATTACATTCGCAAAGCAAAACATATTGATCTTGTTCCTGATGGGTCCTGAAGATCATTTTACAGTTGTAATATTTTCTGATCTCAATTCACAAATCCATATTTCTTCTTCTTTTTATTTTCATTTGTTAAAAGTCAGAATCTAAATAGCTTGGAGTGAGAGACCACGAAATCATTAAATTTTTATCTTGGAAGGACGACTGGCTCTATTTGCCACAGACGGATATGTAAAATTTTGCGAAAGCACCTGAACCAATAAAAAAACCTTTGGCATGCCTGCCGATTTTCAATTTCATTAATTTCGCTCAAAATTCAGTTTTCTTCTAGTTTAACGACTTCAACTTATTACTGTGTACACTAGCTGCTATCTGTTCTCGCATTACTTTAGTGCGATACACTTTGCTTCTCGAGGACGACAGAAATCATTTATTCTCGCTTTTGAATGTTGACTTGATTTGTTGTTTGTTTTATGTCGAGCAAAAACTACAGGCCACAAGACATGGACTATGTATCAACTAATGAAAGCTTACAGTAATTTCCGAGCAAAAACTTTTCATTTTTGATCTAAAATAACGTTAAAAACAAAGATATTTATTTTTCACATCGATCAGCAGATGAAGTTTATAAGTTTTCACGGAACATGTCTTCGTTAGGTAAATTCTGTATTTCATTTTGTAGTTTCAGTAGGTGCTTTAGATCTGGTAAATATTTTATTTGTTCCTCTTCTGTCGTTCGTCTACTGAATCACTGGCTTTTAAATAATCGCTTTAAGATGTTCTCAGTTTTAAATTTTACTGTCTTAAGATAAAGGAAGGACTCGTTTTTTAATTCTTTACTATTGGCTTTCTCTAAGTTAATTACGATACTCGATTTGGACAAAATGCAATGAAAATCAGCCCTTCAGTATAGCATTTCACCGATCCTTGATATTTTCTAGTAGATTATATGAACCTTGAGTGTTACATCGTGCATGTATGAAGAAGTACAGCACAGTAAAAATAGAATATTTTTAACAAAGTTTGTGCGTTCAAGGAACTAAATTTGAGCACGTGATAAGTAATTATATCATATCATTCATCTATGAAAATTTGCAAACTTTACTTAACATCAGCAAGTCGGCAAGTCGGCAAGTCGCATAGTCATCAAGAAACATTTTCAAAAGGAAATTGTTTTCACTTTTGATCGACTTTTCTTAGCTTCAATTAAGTGCTGCGCAACTGACTGATATATCTGCAGAAAACAGTTTTATTTTTGTAAAATTTAAAATCGTTCTGTAGCTAAAAAATGTTTTTAAAACTCAACCTTTCGACAGCCTAAGCTGCAGTCTGCAACAAGTGGAATGATGAAAGAGGCGCTAAAATATGTGTAGTGTACGTAGAACATAATACGGTTTTGTAAATTAATTACTAGATTGGATAAAACTTCCCCCAAAGCAATAGCAGCACCTTTCACTGTCTCTTTTAGGAGATATAATTGCACATTTGGCGCCATTGAAAAGGATTCATGCCTTTTACATCCTTATAGCAGGTGTAGATATTCTGTAATCTGCCTCGTTGACTAAAACTTGATATTTAACGCTTTGGCAGTGTCTGTGAAGCCAAAAATCGAATAAAGTATAAAATAACCCGTTTTTATAAACCTATAGGCTTATTTGCTGTATTAAAATAGCATATGGGCTTTGACGATGTTTTTTATGCTAGTGTTGGAAACACTTGTGATGTATTTTAGCCGCAAGTCAAATAGTGATAAAAAGAAACAGCGCCTGTTCAATTTAGGTTTATTTGTCAATACCTAAAACATTATGCATTACAAAAAAACCCTGGAGACCTTTTCAGAAACCAAAATAGCGTTGTGAAATGACATATGACTGTTCTGTAAACCATTGTAATTTCTTTTCTACCACTAAGGTTCACCATTAAGCTTCATGGATATCATGTTACTGTCATTCAATAGACTAAATGTAGGACACTAGTTTTAAAAAAAAAATTATAACCTTTCATTGAAGATTTCTTTTTTTTTTTTGAATAACGAGAATTCTAAATTCAGTGGAGAAGAAAATCTCTTGTACCTCTCTTATGCCACATGTGGAGAACAAAACTGTATTCCGCTGGGAAAATAATTTAACACAGCTAGACCGATTCTCTCCACTTGTTAGAAAATTTTAATTAAAACGAAGTTCCTTGCGTGAATCATTAATCAATATTTTGAAGGTAAATTAAAAGTTAAATACAAATTTTTCTTATTTTTAGAATTCCTAAGAGCACTACGGCTAGTTAAACCGAACTTAGACATAAACTTTTGCCTTTTTCCTCTTGCTTTCTATCGTGTTTGCATTCGTTCAGCGATCTGAGAGAAAATTGGAGTTGATCGTAGTCCGGAGAAACGAAAATTGAGAAAATTGAGAAAATTTTAATTGACAACCGACATTTACAAAACAACTTCCTGCCTCTCTGAGCACGCAGAAAACAATTCATTTGCAGCTGTTTGCAAATTATTTGAATTTTTTGAGCCTGGGTCAAGACGGAAACAAATTTATGGTTTCCAAGCCTTAGCGAAGCCTAATCTATCCGCTTTCTGTAATACAATCAGGGTCTTCACATTAAAGCTTCGTGGAAAAATAAAACTATTTGTAAATTTTCATTATCAACCCTTAAAAAGTGTCGGTGCGAAGGAAAAAGTTTGTTGACAAATTATTCATTTGATTGCTGGCGGCTTTAAGGCGTTTAATTTATACCCCAATATTTCCGTCTCTCCAGGATGTCTTATCTAAATTGGTATAAATGTACTAGCGCTCTATCACGAATGCAGTTCTCTGATTGGCTACGCTACTCACTATCTATTCTGTCGTAGATAGTGAGTAGTCTGGCTGTGTGCCGTTATGAAAACCGATAAAATGGCTCGACAAAATTTAAAACCGATAAAGAAAGCAAATTATAACTAAAAAAGAGAAAATTACTACAAGAACGTTAACAATTTTCTCATAAGAAGCAACTAAATTTGGAATTTGAAAAACATCGCTGTCGCACCATACCAAATGTTTTCAAGATACATTTTAGGAAAACCAACGTGGTTTTGGAGTCAGAAATAGTTTGGTGAAGGTTAATGTAATAAATGATTAATCATGCAATGTCACGCAAAAATTTTGGCTCGAATTGAGTCTGATTAGGCTCGAGGAGAGGTTCTTATTTCTCTAATTAGAAACATTTCGCGCCCTAAACAATAAAACCTTTTCTTTAGTTTAGTTTAGTTTCATTAAAAATATATTAGCAACAGCAAAAAAAGTAAATTCGGAATTTCTGGTGGTTTGTATTATATATTAGTAAAGAAAGGTTATCTTTTCCTCCTAAGGGTCTGCGCACAATTATCAGGCATTAGCCTAAATGAAAATGCAAATTACTGAAATTTGACAGAAGATTAATAGATACGTTTTGTTTTTTTTTTTGTTTTTTTTTGCCTTTCAGATGAGAGCCATACATAATTATGCTTCGACATAATAACATGAAACTAGTGGACTGCTGAGAAAGATGTGAATTAATAATGGCTGTTTTCCGTAATTTCACGCTTGTTTTTTGCCTGTGTGCAGTTAATTTTCCCAAAATATGCACCCAGAGACCGTTTGACAGAGTTTTCAAACAAGGTGACGCAATTATAGGAAGTCTCCTTGCTGTGCACACGGAGAACTCCGAAGACGGTTGCAGAAACGTGTTTCTCCCAGGTATTAATCGTGTCGAAGCTGCTGTTTACACCATTGAACAAATCAATAAAAATGCAGAAATTCTTCCAAACGTTCAACTTGGCTATGATATACGCGACTACTGCATGGACAGAACAAAAGCTATGGAGTATTCGTACGACTTTAGCACTCACATCCACTTCTTGGATGTCGATGGAGACTTTGGCGACCAAAACATCACCTCCAGCGCTTGCCTGCAATGTTTCATCTCCAAGGACAACGCTACCTTCCCAATTGCAGCCTTGGTAGGACCTTATGGTTCACGGAACTCTCTCCAAGTTGCTGGCCTACTTCAGGTCGTCAACATCCCAGCTATAAGTCCATCGGCGACAAGCGAGGAACTAAGCTGGTCGTTTTATAGAAAGTTTCTGCGAACGGTGCCATCTGATAATTTTCAAGCAAGGGCTATGGCTGATCTTATTGACTACTTTAAATGGAAATACGTTGCGGTTATTGCAGTGGAACACTCGTATGGACTGTACGGTTTTCGAGCCCTAGAGCAGGAGTCTCTTCAAAGAGAAACTTTCTGTATCGGGCTGGTGGAGTACATTACACCAACACGCTACGAAAGCCGATTGAAACCCATTGTTGAAAAACTTAAAAGAGCGGAAAATATCAAGGTAATTATTTTGTGGATCGGGTCAACCATCGCTACAGACCTGGCTAGAGAGGCACACAGACAGAATTTAAAAGAAAGAATTTGGATCATGAGCGATTCCTTAGCGACGAAAACTCCAGAATATCTTGGAAGTGACTTAATGAGTCTTGGGATTTATTTGGGAATTCAGCCAAAGCAGTTTAACGACGCGAACTATGAGGATTATTTAAAAAATCTTACACCGAAAATAACTGATAACAGGCTCGATTCCAATGATTGGTTCGATTTCTTGTGGAGAGAGGAGTTCAATTGTTCGGCAAAGAATAACACTCCAGGGTACAAACAATGTCCAGATGGTTTAACAATTTCAAATGAAGTATATTTCAAGATGTCTGATGATTTCATTCCTTATCAAATTGACGCTACATACGCTATTGCGCATGCGCTGGACATGATTTACAAGTGCAGAGAACCATTCGGTTTGTTGGCTGGCGGGGTTTGCCCTAAAACATACCCGTTTGTAAGCTCTGCCGACGTCTACTTGTACCTTCGTAACGTGAGCTTTGTTGGAATAACAGGCCGCATCGAATTTGACGAAAATGGCGACCCTCTTCAAGCGCTGTACGACTTTGTCAGCTTTCAAAGAAATCTTGATGATACAACAGGGAATGATAAATATGTAAAAGTGAAAATAGGAAATTGGGATGCAAATGGGAACCCGGAGATTAAGATTGACCCAAGCGCTATCCAATGGAGTTATGAAAACATAACAGTCGATAATGGTACATCCGGAATTCCTAAATCAGTGTGTCTGGAGGAGTGTCCGCCGGGGACAAGGCAAACGCCGACAATTTCGTGTTGCTGGCAATGTATTGAGTGCCCCGACGGAGCGGTAAACTCCCAAAAAGGCTCAACAAACTGCACGAAATGTTCTGTGACGCAAAAATCGAACGAGAATAAAACAGCGTGTGTGGAACTTCCAATTGAAAATCTACAATGGAGGAGCACAACTGGAATAATTCTAGCTATTTTCACATTTGCAGGTTTTGTTTCGACTTCTTTCACGATTCTTGTTTTCATCCGTCATTTTCAAAGTCCCATTGTAAAAGCAGCAAATCGCGAATTGAGCTTCTCGCTGTTAATTGTCATCACCTCTGGTTTTATTTTGCCATTGATAACAATCTCCCAGCCTTCTCCAGCCATCTGCGCTGTGATCGAGCCCTGGCGTTATATAACATCGTCACTAAGTGTCTCCATCTTGTTGGTCAAGACCATGAAACTGCTGCGGGCTTTTCAAATTACTTACGTTGCAAAATGGCTGAAAAAGGTCAGTGCGAGCACGGGTGGACAATTTGCGTCTGTTATCTTGCTCAACTTAATCGAAGTCATTTTGGCAATCTTGTGGGGTACACTAGACTCGCCTGGCACCAAAACCGACATCGAGAAAGGAAAGTACATCCTATTTACATGCAGTCCTTATAACACCATAGTCGGTCTGATGTTAGAGATTGCCATGCTGTCTTACCTAATATTTTTATCTCTTCTCTGTGCGTCCTATGCCTTTAAAGCTCGGACGCTGCCAGAGAACTTTAACGAAGCTCGATACATTGGGTTTGCAATGTATATTCTCCTTCTCTCGTGGATCGCCTTCTACCCTGTTCAAACGTCCTTAGAGGGCTGGTATGTGGCTGTAGTGTCATGCACTACAGCTCTTGTGAGCTCGTATGGTTTGTTAGCGTGCATGTTCGCTCCAAAGGTTTATGTTATTCTTCGCCACCCGGAGCAAAACACTGCGCAGTTTATGAGACATGAGCTACGAACAGCCAATAGCATTGTGCCAGTGAATCCTTCATACCGTGTCTCAGAGAAGACGTCCGTAGAGGATTCAAGCAACACGAAATCATAAAAGTGATACAAAGACAACCACAGCCCCATCCGCATCAATGGAGTTGCAGTCGTGTATGGCTACGTTCCCTTCTTAGGACTCATAGGCATGGCATAGTGAAAGGGAACGGGCAAAAGTTGAGATGACTGCAAGCATGTGTATCAAAGCCTTTTACTACAGCGGCAACTTCAAATGGCTTGTCAAATTAAATCCACTAGTCACACGAAAGAGTTGATAGAACATACTTCTTCCTGTGTTCAATAGTTCAATCATAAATGGAATATTCTAAAACACATAGCGAGGTTATTAACTGTAACACCCAGTTCATCGATGCTCTTAATTAGAGCGGTTTTCAATGAGTGTCGAAAGTAATCAGGCAATTACTTTGGTTTTGGTTTTGGTTTTATTGTGGTTTGAGATCGGCTGAGTAGCCTAATTGGTAAGTAAATGGTTGGGTTTTGGTTTTACGGCACTCAATTGAAAACCGCTCTAGTGGCGCTTATTGCGTTTCCACAAAAAGTAAAGGTTTTAAAATATGTCTCGCGTTGTTGAAGAACTGTGGTACCAAACATGAACCTATATGTACTACACTGAGTAGAGTCCAAAAGAAAAAAAACTGTTAAGGTGGGATTACAACGTGAAAATCAATAAAGAGAAAAAGAGAAAGATAAATAGCAATCCTGTTAAATTCAACAATTCAGTTCAAAAATTCCTCAAAACAGCTTCAAAGTCTGTGTTTCGCACCGATTTCATAGCTGAAACTATACGATTCGTGACATATCGATTTTCCTTGAAACCATCGCTGAGGGAATTGTAACATTAACCGTGACAGAGATTTCTAACAATTACTCTTTCGATTCCTTGTAATTTAAGACGTTTTTTATGTTCCTCGCAATGACATCTATTGTTTAGGTTCTTCGGGTTGTAAAACAATGAACAGTGAGGCACACGAAATGGCAAATAACTATTTGACACATACCCATCCCCCGGTCACAGAGGTCGGCCTTGTTAGCTGTAAATATATCATACGATACTATCACCAGTTTCGTTCTGTTACTCCCTCAATTCTTGCCATCGAAAGTCTAAACGAATCTATCTCTGTTGCTCGTCTATTTGCTTCTTAAAAACCGATAAAATCTCTTCCGAAATTCATCAGTAGCTTAAGATTCCAAAACTCGATTTATTCTTTATTAATAAAGCTTGGCCGAAAGTCACTTCGCTCTAAAGCACCCTTTCTTTGAGTTGCAGCACAGTGTTTAAATATTAACAAGGTCAGAACACCCTATACAAATCAACACAGAAAAAGAAATTCGTATTTTGTCTACGTCAAGATCACATCCTCGGTAAAAAAGAAATCAATGCATGCGAGAAATATCTGTTTGATATCGCATTCTTCCGAAATAGAAGCTTTGTTTTCTATGGGGAATCTCATAAACGAAAAGAGAATGCAAAATTGGCCTATATGGTGCTCTAACTTTCAGGCCAGCAAACTCATTCATTGGATTTGTTCACTCTAAATGGGGTTACAGGTAAAACAACAGGTAACTAAACTAGTTTTGTTTACATAAGACAACCTTGGCGACCTTTCACAATAAATATTTGACATTCGCTGAGCTTGTGGCCCGACCGGGCCATTGTTGAATAAATAATCAGGTCGAATTGAATTCAGCTAGCAGTTATTCACTCGGCTTTCAAATCAATGCTTAGTACATACACATACGGTCGTTCTCTCAACGCAACGCAACATGACGGCCTGTACTGATTCAACCATCGTTGATCTTCCCAAAATTAAGTCAGAGGACAAACTCGACTGTGCCGTGTGCGGGGACAAATCCACGGGGAAACATTATGGAGTGAGCACATGCGAAGGTTGTAAAAGTTTCTTCAAACGCACGGTTCGTAACAGCACTTCGTACACGTGCCGAGGAAACAACAATTGTACAGTGGACCGGGATAATCGGAGCCGCTGCCCGTCTTGTCGATTTCAAAAATGTCTCAACACAGGAATGAAAAAGGAAGGTAACCGTACTCAAAGTGTTTTTGAAATATTTTAAAACGTCTTCTATGCGATTCACACAATATTTATGTTTTGAGAAAAGCTTCTTATCATAAAATATTTGTACTTTTAAAGTTTTGCTTTCTGGACTACGCGTTATTTCATCGATAGGTTAAAAGCTTTAACTTCCAATGTAAAGCTTTAGCAAACGTACCGATTATATTCACACAATCGTGACTACTACTTTCAACAACCCAAACATCACGACAACAATTCAAGTTTGGTTTGTGTTGGAATGAAAAAGAAAAAACAGGGATTCCGACGAAAACATCTATTATGCGAATTAACAGTGCTGAAAGAATTAATCAAAAGAAAGCTATTGAAGTTAGAAATATACCTCTATTCATAGATGACATTCACTACTATAAATATTTTTGAAAGTCTCTATACATTTACAAATAGATGGCTAACTGGTACCATCAAAGACAGTCACACTTAATTCTAGTTTAAAAGATAACTTAAACAAATTGTGGTTTAGGAGAGCAAGTTCGGCGATTTTGTTTAGTTTTGATGTACTTCTGTAATAAATACTAAATGGACTCACAGTTACACTTCAATTACACCATGTTTTCTGAAAATATGAAGGCCTTCAGTTTCCGCCTTGTCCTGATATTAATATCACGCTTTCGATTCATTCAAAGTTTTATATTTCATCAACATGCAATAAATCGTTTATTTGTCACTTCTGTCCATAGATATTTACTGAATAAACGTATAAAAGGTTCAGGAATATCGATTATATTAAATTTTACCTTTTTTTGAAACATTTTATCCCTGTTATTTTATTTTTACCCGTAAAATTGCATTTGCTACGAGCAATGATGCGCGTGCAATGATAGATTGAATCACGAGAATCAATCTATCGCCGATAATATGGCAAAAAGATACATTTGAGCATAGTCTGTGGTCGCATGCACTTTGCTATAAGGGTCCACCCCTTTTCCAGAGGGATTCAACTCGAATTGCAGCATTATGGAGGAATGCACTGGGGCGAGGAAGTATCTTTGAGAAAATGTAACACGCACGTGCAAAAGGAGAATAATAAGTCAATAACGTTCCGGTGTAGCAGTAAATTTTGCCAGGAATCAATAGAAACTTGTAAAAGTAATCAGTAGCGTTATGACGTTTCCCGAAAAAATTAAATAGCACTGTAAAGCATAAACGAGAGAATGCCCACAATTTTGGGGAGTATTTCCGTATTCTTACATGGTGTCTCCCAAAGTATGTGTAACAGAATTGTCTCCCCAAACCTCCACTTTCAAAATAGCAATCTGAATCCTTAATGACTCCTAATATGTAAAATAATGCTTTTATCACCCAGCCGTTCAAACAACAAAACTACCAGCTTTTCCGGGATTCTCTTTTCCTTACTTCGGGGACCCAGCTGGTTTCTACGCACCAGGCCTCCTGCCATTCACATTCCTTCAGCCGGCACTGTCTAATCCGGGAAACATTCACATGGGAATGTTCCCACAAACCCAGGGAACTTCTGAGGTCGTTTATGAGCTGGCGGCCCACGTGCTGTTCTCGGTCGTAGACTGGGCTCGAAAGCTGCCAACCTTCAACAACTTGGTGGAAAGCGACCAAATCACCCTACTCAAAATGGCTTGGAGTGACCTGTATCTACTGGAAAGCGCTCGCAGTCCGATTCATATGTACCTCCAGCAGCTTTACGCCACAGCTAGCATGCAGGCCAGGCAGGTTTCCATGGAGAATATTCTTAAACGGATGGAGCATGCGCGGTTGTTTCAAGACCAGGTGGAGAAGGTTCGGTCGCTTGGAATGGATTTGACAGAGCATTTCCATATCAAGTGTGTTGTCTTGTTCCGAACAGGTGAGGTCAACAGTTCTTCACTTGATAGTTTAATCCATTTAGGGAAGATTTCTCTTGTTCGCGTCCAAATATTTCTCAATCAATTTTCACCAAAATTGAAAAACTTTCATAAGGAAATGTAAGAAACTTCAAAAATTTTAATCGTTCTGCGTTTCCCCCCTACATATAGATGAAAGAGACAGGCAGTAATTATATAAACTGATCCACAAAACATACGATATCATAAGGACTACATATGAAATGAAATTCAGCATCGTCACCAAAATTCTTCTCTAGACTTAATGGCCCGCCCCTCCCGGGAATCATGGTAGTTGTATTCATTGAAACAAATATCCAGTCCAAGATGATGAAAACAAGTGCCATGATTCCCTTTAGGTGCATCCTGGCCATTGCTCACCAGTGTCTCATTCAAGTCCATAACCAACAACCAATTCACACTGTACAGAGAGAAAAGGTTTAGCCATTTTTATTAAAGAAAAGAAAAGCTGGATCGTCACTATTTACCAGTAAAACTGATGAAGACTAAGATAGCATCGTAAATTTAAATATAAAATTTGCAGTCATTAAAAACGTTAAACAAATTTAGTCGTGATGCGAAGAAGCTAAAACATTTCTTAAAGGTTGAAACCTCAGGGTCCTCTTAAAAGTAGCTACAGATTCGCAAAGTCTCAAGGTCGGCTCTAGAGAGTTCCAGAGATTTCAGTTCTGTAATTGAACGTTTACTGGCGAGTATACGTAACGGTTTTAAAAGACGGAATGTGAAGCCTTGCGAGTTTCTTTTGCAAGAATGACAGATGCTTACTTTAAGAGAGGTTTTGGAATGTTTCTGACATCGCTATCTTTCCCATTTTTGCGTGGAAAATGTCCCCTACGCGATAGCCAATATGGTCGAAGATAGTGGCTCCTTGTTAAGGTTTTCTGTGGTTTGTTACTAAGGTCAAAATATTGTTTCTGCAGACGGCTCACCCATTACACAGCCCCAACAAATCGAAATCCTTCAAGACACTTCCCAGAGTTCCCTGGAACAGTACATTAGAACCCAGTACTCCAGTCAGCCCACGCGCTTCGGAAAGCTGCTTCTTATGCTGTCATCTCTGAGAAAAGTCGAGCCCGCGGTCATCGAACAGCTGTTTTTCGCAGACGTGCTGCGTGGCGCATCAATGGGAGACGTGTTAAAGAAGATGCTGACCAGCAATTCTTCAGCACCGATTGTTCACGGGTCGTTAATGGCTTAAGGGGAAAGCGATAACGCTGCGTTTTGCACAAGAGAGAAAGAGAAAAAAAAAAAACTTTTGGCTTCGTTGGCAAGATAATCAAATCGTCGTTGAAAAAAATATAAAATTGAGCAGCCGTTTAGAATTTCAACGTGCTCTGAGCCGACACTATTTATATACAGGATGTTGACATGCGATCTATACAAGGTTTATTTGATAGGAAAACAGGTTATTTTTTTTAAAATAAGTCAAATGTGCCAGAAATAAAAATTGATAATTATACGTAAAAACTTAAGGAAACAGATGCGAATAATTGTATTACGATTTATGCATGGAATGTGATAAAGTGGAGAGTACAGAGGACATTTCAATTAACATAAAATGTTTTACTGGTTGTTCAGATGAAAAAAATATATCCATATTTTATAATCTTTCAAATGAAAAATGCTATCAGATAAGTCGACAAATGGCTAGAAAACGTCAGGTATATACCCACGAAGTCGAGAACAATTTTACAGGGAAAAACCGTTGTTTCATTGTGCATAACATTACAACATAACATGACATAACATGACGTTGATGATGACCTTAACAATGACAATGACCACGGCGATGCAATGATGATGATGATCTTGATAATGATGATGATGACGACCACGATGACGATGATGATGACGACGACGACGATGATGATGATCTTGATAATGATGATGATGACGACGACGACGACGATGATGATGATGATGATAACGAACATGGCATCAGTGAGGAAGATAAACGGAAACGATAGTAGTGAAGACAGTGTAAAAAGCGATCAAAAAGGCCATGACAGCGCCAAAGATCTTGGCGAGCAAGAACACGACAATCTTGAAGACAAAGATCTTGATGATGATGATGATGATGATGATGATGATGA